CTCACCCATGTCATTTAATGTAATATTCATATTCTCGAAACAATTACATTTAGCATTACTTTCATTATATGAACTCAATATCAAATGAAGGTTCTTGATATACATTCTCAATACCTTGTTGAGTGCCTGAACCTCCACGAGTTCCTGGTCCATTATCTCTACCTCTTGTCTAGTAGCTTTCAGATCAGCCAAGGTATCATCCAGTTCATGGGTCACATTGGTTTGGTATTTATCACAAAATTCACGATATAATATAGCCTTACATTTAGTAATAGTCTGCGTGTGATTTCCAGATAGATATTGTGGCAAAACTAATGCCATAATAATTAATACTAAACTAAATGGCAGATTCATTGCTTGATTAGTTTTAAAATAGAGTAAAAGTTTAATCAAGTGAATGAAAAGTGTTTAATAAAAGTTTTAATATTGAAATGATCTATTTATACTCCCTAATAAAATATATGAATTTAAATAATGCGGATATGAATCAATCTACATTTCTAATTAATATAATTAATTAATTTTGAATAAATAAAGTTTTGTTATTTTAAGATTTTCATTGTAATCTAGTGATGATTTATTACTAAATTATTAAGTTACTTTTGTAAATTTTATTGTCGAAACACCTAAATTTTTAAATAATTTTTATTTATTATACCGTATATTTTTATAAATTATCAACCCGTATACTTTATAAAAAATAAACTGTTATTTGTATGCATGATACTTAAAATATTTTTTACACAATAAAAGATTAATCATTATATAATATTAAACAAACAATATTAAATAATTAACTCCTTATACACTTTGTTTTTAAGTAACCATATTGAGTAAATAACATAATTGGTATGATCATCCGGGTAGCAACAATTATTATTTTTTTCAAATTATTTATTTCTAGTAAAAATTCATAAACTATTTATAAGTTAGATAATGTTAACAAGTATTTCCCCAACACAAATACCCAAATATTTACATGGACAGTATTTCACTAAATAAGGCAGTTCCCTACAAAAATAATATGAAAATTGCATTTATAAGCAAAAACACATAAATAAAAAATATAATTATTGTTTAACCATTATTTAACTCATTTAACCGACAATACACGCGCAAACTGTACAAAAAATGAGAAAGCAATTTCTTATTATTATGGTATGTGCCGTGTGTTTGGTCACCGGTAGAAATATCAACCAGGCTGGTATTGATCTCATTAAAGTTTCCGAGGGTTTTGTAGCTAACTTTTACGAGGATCAAATTGTGAGTACAAGCAAAACACGCTTTATTAAATTTATTATTGATTATGGAAATTGATATTAAACTTGATCAGGGTCTTAAAACAATTGGTTACGGACACGCTTGCAAATGGCAAGGTTGCGACCACATACACCCTCCCATATCGGAGGCCGAAGGTACCAAGATCATGATGGAGGATCTGGTTCAATTTGAGAAATGTGTTGAACAATCAGCCCCTGGACTCAATGATAACCAATACGCTGCCGTATGAGCTAAAATATATTTTTAATTTTTACAAATAATTATCATGGTAGTGCGTGGACTTTGCGTTTAATATGGGATGCGGTGCGTTTGGAGGGTCAGACATTTTGGCAAACATCAAGGCCAACAATTTACAAGCGGCTGCCAACTCGTTTTTGAAATACAACGTGGCCGGGGGTCAGGTCATAGAGGGGCTCACTGTTCGCAGGCAAAAGGACAAGGACCTATTCCTGAGATAAATCATTATAATAGTATACACTGTAATATTATGTATCTGATTTATATTTGACCAAATTCTAAACAAATTGCTTATAGGTAATATAATTTTTCAATGATAATTGAAAATTATTATATTTTATTTATATAATACTGTAGTTATTATAGCAAACACTTGTATTAATATTATTATTTTGCTTTTAATAAAAGTTTTATACGCATTGAAATCTAATTATGTATTTATTTAATAATTTGAATTAAAATATTTAGCTAAAATTAAAATTTTTATTATCAAATAATTAAGTAAATTAATAATTGTAATTTTTAATTATATAATTATTTATTTCATAAACATCTTTGAATACATAATAATAATCTCAAACATTAAATTAAAATAAATTATAAATATAAATCACGGATTTTGAATTAACCCAATGTATGGGTTAGCCGGCACATGGTGCTTACCATTAACAGGTATATCCGTATACCTCACCAACTTATTATTTCTATAAAAACTAGCATTGAACTTCAACCCAGTCGGTCGGGTATCTGTAGCCTTCGCATACACCAAATTAATCTCATAGTCCACATAATCACCCTGGCCCTTATTAGCCATCAAAAACTTCTGGACGTGCGCCTCCACCGTCGACTTAAACTCCCCGCGATTTTTGCTTAGGTTTTGTGGGAACAGGTTATACAACTGCATGGGTCCGCCCAACACGTTGGCCACTATATGCCCGCAATCGTCACCTCCCTTTGATCCCCGTCCCAGCGCCCGGACCTGTTCAGCCATAGCCTTGTTTTTGGAGGTGTCCTGACCAGTGCCCAGGTCTGAGTGACGGATGACGGCGTGCACGTACTCTGCCCTCCCATTGGCCCCCTTGCTGTGCTTGTCGATAGGGTTGGCCCAGGTTATGGTGATTACCAGAGCCAACAGCACCGATACTATCAGTGTGATTACGCTGGTTTTATTGTACTTCATGTTGTCAGTTATAACAATAGTTTTGGTATTATACTGTATACTAAAATAAAGTTGCTTAACTTTGTCAAGATATTTATATAAAAATTACCAGCGAATTAAAGCAAATGTTTTAATAATATATTATTTGTTGTTATATAACAAACAACTGTTTTATTAATAAATGCAATATTTGTTTATGAAATAAAAAGTATTTGTACTTATTGCTATGAAACAAAGGATATATTTATATATGGAAACAGGATTTCAATGATATTTATAAAAATCTGTAATAAAACGATTAATTAAAAGGAAATTGATTATGGTAAGATAATAAGTGAAAAACATAAAAAAATTAATACATATTAAAAGTACGCAATTTAATTTTTATTTTAATTAAAACTTAAAATTTATAAAATATAATTAAATTTTAAACAATTTCTATGTTATAATCATTACATCACTAACTAACCTTGCACTAATTCATTTATAATATTTACTAAAAATGTTGTTTTATAATCTTTTTAATAGATTAAATGTTAAACTTTGAATATATAGTAATAAATGTGATTGATAAAATTGATAATTTATCCAAGTTTAATTATCAATGATACCCATGTATGGGTTAGATGCAACCCGGTGTTTGCCCACATTTGGTATGTCCGCAAAATGAACAAGCTTCTGACAATTCAATTTAAATGGAAATATATCAAGAAACGCACAAAATTGTTTCTATAAACATTTTAAAAATTACATTACTCATATACTGTACTGTACAGTATATGAGTCATATAAAATAATGGTGTATTTTATTTATCATTTTTAATAGAGCCTAACTGTTTACAATATATTGCTATAATTTATAAATAGCTTATAAATTATCGCTTTAAAAATAATATATTAATTCAAAATAAATTTCAAATTGTGTTGTAATAACTGAAAATACAAAGTCCTATCTCATTTAAAATTTCAATTATTTTTGAAACACTGAAATATTTTTAAAAAAAATAGTTATTAGATATAACTTAAATATAAAACTCTTATCACAATAATAAATTACTATTTTGAGTTATTAAAAAAAATATTGTGAATAAATTATATAAAGTAAATCAATGTGGGGTAATTAACAGGAAATTGATGATGATAAGATATTTATCACAAAACTGCAATAGTTGAATTTTTATGTAATTAAATAATATTTTATTCAGCTATTTTGGATTATTTAAAACCTTATGGATAAGTAATGTAAGCACAATTTAGTTTAATTAACAATTATTATCACAAGTTATACACAACAAACTCAATGATTTTAAATATCCATAACAATTAATTATAAATTACCCAGCATTATCATTTAGTTGTAAATAAATCCCTTGTAAGGGTTAGCCGGGACACGATGTTTGCCATTAACGGGAATATCCTGATGTTTAACTAATTTATTATTTTTATAAAACCTTACACCAAATGCTAGTCCAATGGGTCGGGTGCTAGTATTTTTAGCATAAATTAGTATTATCTTATAGTCCACATAATCACCCTGGTGTTTATTAGCCAGCAGAAATTTCTCCACGTGTGCCTCGACTGTCGACTTGAATTGTACCTGATTTATGTGGACACTTTGTGGGAACAGGTTATACAACCGCATGGGTCCGCCCAACCCTTTGCCCACAATATAGCCACAATCGTCACCACCTTTGGTACCCTTTCCCAGCGCCAGTACCTCCTCAGCCATAGTTGCGTTTACGGAGGTGTCGTCACCGGTGTCCAGGTCTTTGTGTCGGATGACGGC